AAAGCTTCGACACAAAGCATTTAGCTGCTGCTGAGTCAATAAAGCAAGACTCGGTTTGGGTTTCCGGCTTGTCAGCTTCTCTCTCCCCTGCTGGGGTTGTTTATTAGCATTACAACAGAGGCCCTGAGACAGAGGGGGACTCCATCATGCTGGGTGTTGCATAAACCCAGAGAGAGACAAGCTCTGAATCTATATAGCCAACACAAACGGTGGGAGGGGAAACTGAGACGGGAAGTGGCTTGCCCATGCTCACCCAGTAGCAGAGCTGGGACTAAAACCCAGGTCCCTGACTCCCAGGCCAGAGCCCACCCCACTGAATCACGCTGCCTCCCAGTGGCTGAGTCTAAGAACCTTTTCAGAAGGGTGGATTAGGTGGGCGAGAGCTGCCCAGGAGGCCTCTGAAAGGGGAGGGAGAGTTGGTGAAATTGACACACACAGGCAAGTTCAGAGGCAATGTATTGTGCTGCGTACCGGTCGTGTTGTGTCGGGTGTGAGACAAGAAAAGGCAGGTCTCCCAGAGAGTGTCCTGTTTAATGCAACAACCTCCCCTTTCAAACAGGGGACATAGGGCTGCGTCCCATCAACTGTGGTGGACCAAGAGCAAACGAGCTCTTATTCCCATGGGCGGTGACTTGGCACGGACCCTGGGCCTGTCAGTTCACTCCCCGCCTCCGTGGCATCCTGTGACATGGGGAACCTCCTGGAAGGGAAGTAGGTGGCCAACTCCCGTTGAATTCCAGCAGGTGCCTAAATCCTTCCGGCCCCTTCAGAATCTCAGCCAAAGTTCCCGCAGTGCTGTGAGTGCCCCCCGGTGTTAGAAGCATTGGAACAGCCTTTGTAAAGGGCAGATGTTTTTCTAACACAGAGATCCCGTCTTGGGCTGGCTGATCTGGTCTTTGTCTAACCCGGCTTCTGTTAAAACGGTTTGGGGATATTGGATCCAATGGAGATGAAAGAGCAAATCGCAAGCCCTGCCTAGCCCAAGGCAGGAAGGCTGCGGGAGCTGGGACCCTGTACACTCCTTGGCATGTTTACCCATTGTTACGGAGATTACTTGGAGAGTAAACTCTTTGGGATAATCCGTACGGCACCGACGGGGTCCTGGCCCCCGACTGGGAATCCAACGTGCTGTTCCAGACAATGAATCATAGTAAGAGCTCACGGGCCATATTGTGAAACAGCCTGTGGAATTTCTGGCAGATCGTCTCAGCTCCCAGGAGCTGCCAGGCTGGATCAGACCAACGCCCGACCGAATCCAGCAGCCTGTCTCGGAGCATGGCCAGCACCACATACTGCAGCGGAAGGTGCAAGAGTCCGAATCCCCGCGGCGGGCAGCGAATAGTTATTTATGAGTGTTACCATCTGCTGGTGCTTGTGCAGTGGCTGGTCCCTGGGCTGACACCCCGGACATGGAATCAGGGCCAGGTTCCCCAGTTATGGGCTGTCACAATTCATAACCTCTGTGGATCGGGCACAGAGGGTGACTTGTAACACACTCACGAGTGGGTTACTCTTGCATTATGAAAGGGTAAATAGGAGCAGCTAATTGCCCATCTCTGCACCAGTCAGTGTGTGTCCTATACCTTAGCACGCCTCCTCTCCTTCGGCTTCTCAGCTACACAGGGCCAGTCTTTTCAGTCTCTCCGGCTGTGGGTTTCTCACCAGGCCTCTCTAATTATTCTCACAAGCTGCCCCCTGTCTTTCTGCTCCATCTTTTTGGAGATAGGGTGACCAGAACTGACCCTGGTAATCTAGGTAGCATAGCACGGATGGAGAGAGGCTCTCCGGGTTTGTCCCCCAACAGGTTACAGTTATGTCAGATCCCAGCGACGTATGCCACGATCTCAAATTGTTCCTCCCAAGGCACCTCGCTTTGCATTTGCCGGCACCGCCATCACGGTGCCCATCCCCCTACCTCTGCTAGGTCCCTCCGACGTTCCTCTCTGTCTTCTCTAGCCCTGATGAACCTCCGTGACTTTGTGTCATCTGCACACGTCCCCTGGCCCCGTTCTCGCCCTCTTCTAAAGCATGAAGAATTACGCTAACACCAGCCCTCGCATGGAACCTTGTGGCAGCTGCTCCCTCTAGCCATGATGAAAACTGACCATTTGACCCCAGATCTTTGTTTCCTGTCTCTTAGCCCGTTGTGAAGCCAGAGCGACACTTCACCTCTCGGCCTGTTACTTTCCCTAATAGCCTCTCGTGAGGGACTTTCCAAAGGCTTCTTCAACGTCCAAATAAGCTATATCAGCCATAACTAATCTCCTTTATTCCCTGTGCTCAGAGAACTCGGACAGATTAAAGAGACACCAGATTCCTTTCCCGTCTGTCTAGGTGCAGATATTCTAAGCAGGCTGAGCTGGGTGCAATGGGCGCTAGCCCCGTAGGGGGTCCCAGGTAATTTTACCCCACCTCTATCCATGGACTGGACGTAAACGTCCGTTTAATTCAAGGGACCGACTCCCTTTGGCGTCAATGGGCGTTGGATTAGTGCACAGCGTCCCGGAGTCAGGCTGCCTGCGTTCTCTCCCAGCTCGGCGACTGACGCTGGGGGACCATGGCGGAGCTGCTCTGTGGTTACTCTGTGGGAGGCGCTGGGGTCCCTGGGCGATGAGTCCAGCCAGACAGACGCTCTCGAGTGACATTTCCTACAGCAGTCCTACTGAGGAGGACGCAGGGAATTATTCCCGAGCGGCAGTAGCAGATCCTCTCTCCCAGCTCGGCACAATGATCACTTCACCAACCTCCTTAAAGAAACCCCCAGTGTTTGACTTTCTGACGGCAGCCGGGATCTGGACGGGCAGCGGCGACACGGGGTCCATTGCCAAGCACCTGGCAGTTTGTCACTAGCAGTCAAGTGAGGATTAGCTCCTAGCACGGCTGCCTCTGCCGAGGGATTTTCACCTTCCTCAGCTGCGTGATGCTAACGTATCCACCAGGGTGGCAGCTCTCAGCCCAGACTTCCTCCCTCAATGCCCCCTGGTTTCTAGCAACTCCAGAGCAAATGGATCAGCCTCAGCACAGAGCATCAGCTTTGCAGAGAATGCTTTCTAATGCGACAGGCCTAGGGTGACCATTCATCCCATTTTTGCTGGGACACTCCCCTTTTTTAAGCCCCGTCCTGAACATGCTGACTTTTTGGGGGGCAAAAATGGACCTTTGTCCCGTTTGTTCTTGCCTGTTGCAAGTTGCTCTGATCAGTTGGCAAGAGCAAAGGGAACAAATGTCCAGTGGGTTGAGCCCCCTTAAGGGGGCGTGGAGGAATGTTTGGGGAGGCCAGTGGCGACACGAGGCACTGGGCGGTGCCGGGCTCGGGCGATCAGCCCGGGGCTCAGGTAGTCAGCCCCAACCCGTCCCAGGCAGCGCAGGGCTTGGGCGGTCAGCCCAGGGTGGCATGGGGCTCAGGTGGACAGCCCCAGTGCCAGGCGCCGTGGGGCTCAGCAGTCAGTCCGGGGCACGAGGCTCAGGTGAGCAGCAAAGCCAAGTGGCTTGGGACAGCCCTGTGCAGGGTGTGGGATGTCTCAGGTGAGCAGCAACATCAGGCGTCTCAGGACAGCCCCGCACGGCGTCCTGCTTGCACTTGTGGGGGAGGGATAGCTCAGTGGTTTGAGCATTGCCCTGCTAAACCCAGGGTTGTGAGTTCAATCCTTGAGGGGGCCATTTTAGGGATCTGGGGCAAAAATCTGTCTGGGGATCGGTCCTGGAAGGGGCTTGGACTAGATACCTCCTGAGGTCCCTTCCAACCCTGATATTCTATTAAATCTGGTCACCCTATCCAGGCCCTGACTGAGATTGGGGTCCTCTCACTGGTGACAGGCCCCTTTAAGAGGGAGCAGGGTCCAGAGCACCAGTGGCTGGCCAGCTGTCTCCCAGCTGGGGTTGAGAGAAGGCACCAGGCCTGTATAAAGGAGAGCTGTGTGCAAACGGACTGAGCAGGGAGGGATTGAATGAATGTTGCAGGAAGGCTCATGCAATGGGCCCCAGGGAATGAGGGGAAGAACCAGTTTGGCAAATGCAAGCTGGGCCTGGAAGCAAGGGATTGACTCTGGAGGGGGATCCCCCAGAGCAGTGGTAGGACCCTCCAGTGAGGAGGCCTGGGAGTGGGCTGCAGGAGAAGGCTCACGGGGAGACATGGGTCCTGGAAGTCTCAGGTAGGAGACGTGGAGAGCGGGGCGCTGGCAGAGGAGCTAAAGGAAGTGGGGCAGAGGGGTTACACAGTGAAGCGCTGCAGAGTTGTTCCTGGGTTTTCCTTGGGGAGGAACTGATTTTTCCGTGAGGGGTCTGCTGACTGTGGCACTTTGTGAATAAAAGGATTTGAATTTTCTACTGAGAGAGACAGTATTCCTTTGCGTGGGTGACTAAAGGGGACAGAAGCAGGCATCCTTGGGGTGCTGGAGTCTGCCAGAAGAGGGGCCACCCTTTGACACAGGGAAACTGAGGCACAGGGGGAGCGATATGCCCAAGCTCACACAGAGCTGGCAATATAACGTGAGTGTCCCCAGCCCTAGCCTGGCACCCCTTCTGCTAGACCTTGCTGCCTCTTGTTAGTTAGCTCAAAATAGTGAATGTTAGCTGCAAAATGTGCTGCCAGAATTCAATCTCTGCTCCCATTCCCACCCTTGAGACGACGGCTGGCTTTAAACAGACTCATAGTCACGCTGCCGCTGATTTCAGTGCGTGGCTTGCTTGAGTGATGACTGCACTCCACTGGGTTTTGTCCAGTTTGGAGAAGGAGTTAAAAGATCAGCTAATGCTGATCAGAGCTTCGAGCAAACTTTAGGGACTCTGGTACTACAGGGTTAAGCACGGGGTAGACAGACAGATTATATCAAAATCCTTATATATAGATGCCTAAATAAGCCCCGGGCTTGCCTATATTGTGTTTTGGCTCCCCCGGTTTAGCTATGCCAGTACAGCTGCATGCCCCTGTGAAGTTCACCCTGGTTTCAAAGTCTCTCTTCTCTTGTTGCTAACAAATCTTTCCCTTCCTTGTTTTGCAGAGTATTTAAGAAAGCGAGTCCCAATGGAAAGGTGAGTCCATCATCCTTGTAAATTTGGGTTTTGAAAGCCAGGAGTGGGGGGGGGGGGAGTCTCAAAAGCCTTTTTTTCGAGTGTGTCCTGTCAAAATTCGAGGGCCCCTTTTGTGGCCGTGATGTGACAGTGTCTGAATGTGCTGTGAAATGTGTGCACGAGGCTTAGTGAAGGGAATGCGGAAGTAAGTCACCTGGCCAATAAGGCATTTTTAAACCGCAAAATGTACAGTGCTTGTCCCACAATAGGGAACTTTGCTCTTCATTTTATGGTACCCAAGCGTCTGCTAGATGGTTCTTGGAAGACATGGGAAGCAATGGCCCCTGCCTCACACTGCAACATTCAGATCTGGATACAGTCTTGCCAGCCCCGGGTGTTTAAATCTCATGAGTCGGGTCCAAAAAAATCTTGAGATTGGTGTAAAAATAATGAGGGTTTTTTTAAATAATGAATTTTGGGTTCTTTTTTATTTGCCTTTGGTTTCTGAGCTATAAGGGGGTTTGTGATGGGTTCCCCCCCTCGGGGTGCTGCCTGGAACTGGGGTACCACTGAGCCCCCTGACCCACTGGCCTGGGCTTCTACTCACCCTGTAATGCTGTGACAAGCTGCAGACACGCTCCTGGTCTCACACTTTCACCAGCACACAGGTAGGGACACACCCAGCTGCAGCTACACACACAGGTGCTGAGATCAGCTCTGCATGGGAAGGCTCAGCTAAGGCACCTCCCAGTTCCTAAGGCACGCACCCCCCTTTGAAGTGTAAACCCAAAATTATACTGTCTTGCACTTCACAGGAAACTGTACGGCATAAGCTCATGAAAGTCACCTCCTCCCTCAATGTGGAGAGAGAGATGCAACAGCGTTCTGCCCCCCAGTTCTGATTTCCACCCACTGGTTTTAGACAAAACAAAAACAAGTTTATTAACTACAAAAGATAGATTTTAAGTGATTATAAGGGATAGCAAACAGATCAAAGCGGATTACCTAGCAAATAAACAGAATGCAATTTAAACTTAATATACTAAATAGGTAGGATATAAATTAACGAATTCTCACCCTGAGTGTTAACGGGCTGGCAGATTCTTAAGGCACAAGCTGCCTTGGCTTTCCCAGGTTTTTATACTCAGGCTAGCAATCCCTTAGCCTGGGACCAGCACTCCCCCTGTTCAGTCTTTATTCCTCAGGTGTTTCCAGGTGTGGTGTTGTAGGGAGAATGAGGTACCATCATGATGTCATCGTCCCCCTTTTATATCTCCTTCCCACTGGCTGGAAAGCTCTGTTGCTGTGGCCTGGGTCAAACAGTTCCCATTGTGCAGTGCTGTCTCTGAGAGGTTTCTATTGTACACAGTTCCTGAGGTAATCCTTGTGCTTGTGTGAATTTCCTCAATAAGCCATTAACATTGGTTGGCCTTTTTACTGTTGCGCCGGAAAGGCTGCTTGTGGGTGTTTTCAACCTCACCGTATGTTTCCGTAACACATACATAGCCAAACTTCAAAACTTCACATACGACGATAGCACATACAATCCAATGAGATATTAATGTCTAGCAGATCAAGACTTTTAGAATGACACCTCACAAGGCAGACTTTGTACAAAACATATCCTAATTACGTGACTGGTGAATATTGGGGTGCCTGGGTGTCACAGGGTGCTTAGGTCATGTTTTCAAGCTCGTCTCTGCAGCCAGAGGGGAAGAAACTCGTTTTAAAAAAAGAGTGAGCTGAAATTGTCATGCAATCCCATGAATCCCGGAATGTCATAACTCAAGATAACATTGTAAGTCGGCAAACAGTCAAAGTTCAGGAGTGTCTAGAGCAGGGGATTTGTTTTGGCCCCATGTAAAGCTCCATCAAGCTGCAAAATGAAAATCTGGCTTTTAATTCACATCCAGGGCTTTGTTAAAGCTCCATCTCTATTCAGCAGCAAATGAATCAGGGAACAGGTCTGTTCCCCTGCAGCTGACAGGGGATTAAGAAATTTCTCTGTAGCTCCCTGGGCGGTTTCCCTGTCCTAAAAAGGCGCATTCTTGCTGAGAGTGGAGACTTGCGAAGTGAGACCAGCTGGGTCTGTTTGTCAGTCAGTTACCCAGAATTCTGCAGGGAGGATGACATGGCATCTGATTGGTCAATCCAGGATTGAGGTTTTATCTACCATTGGGAGGAAGAGTGTTTACCTTGCTTGAAAATGAAACAAACTGTAGATTTGCCTCTCCCTGGTGGTGAGATGATCTCACTTTGCTGGGAAAATTAGGAAATCTGAAATGAAACTCGAAACAGCAAGCGGGCCCACTAGACTAGGTTTTGGGATGAATGGATTAGTGTGTATCAGTACCACTTCCCCCTGCTGGATGGAATTAAGACTGCTCTGTGTGTCATAAGAACCGTACTGCTCATGGAGACTTTCCCCAAGGTCAGGGGGCCTGTGCTAGTGGAGCTGTAGGGTCTCCGTCCTCGTTACAGTGACACTGTGGCCTTTGAGCAGACTTGGTGCCCATCCTACATGCTGCTAATACCACAGGTTTGTCACAGTGTTTTGCAGCAGGCTGCTCAGTTAAGGAACCTGTTTGTCGCAAAAAGAGATTAAAATGCTGGATGCAAGGGGAGAAATCTGTTGGTGATTGAGAAGGGGACTTATCTAGTAAACTGGGACAGGAGGGTGGGAGGAAGCCATTGCACATGTGACTGGTCAGCTTGCCCCCAACTGGGCTTAAAAGGGCAGCTGGAGCCTAGAGGGAAGAGACATGATGAGTCAGAGCCGCCTGAGAGCACAGACTGGAGGGGCAAGGAAAGGGGCAGGTGAGAGCTGTCTGGGAGACAGACTGCAGGGAACATTAGGATGTAAGAACGGCCATCCTAGGTCAGACCAAAGGTCCACCTAGCCCAGTATCCTGTCTTCTGACAGTGGCAAATGCCAGGTGTCCCAGAGGGAAAGAACAGAACCGGTCATCACCAAGTGATCCATCCCCTGTCGTCCAGTCCCAGCTTCTGGCAAACAGAGGCTAGGGACACCATCCCTGCCCATCCTGGCTAGTAGCCATCAATGGACCTACCCTCCATGAATTTATCTAGTTCTTTTTTGAACCCTGTTATAGTTTTGGCCTTCACAACATCCTCTGGCAACGAGTTCCATGGGTTGACTGTGCGTTGTCTGAAGAAATACTTCCTTTGGTTTATTTTTAAACCTGCTGCCTATTAATTTCATTGGGTGACCCTGGGTTCTTATGTTATGTGAAGGAGTAAATAACACTTCCTTATTTACTTTCTCCGCACCAGTCATGATTTTATAGACCTCTATCATATTCCCCCCTTAGTCGTCTCTTTCTTTTCCAAGCTGAACAGTCCCAGTCTTTTTAATCTCTCCTCATATGGAAGCTGTTTCATACCCCTCATCATTTTAGTTGCCCTTCTCTGTATCTTTTCCAATTCTAATATATCTTTTTTGAGATGAGGCGACCAGATCTGCACACAGTATTCAAGGTGCTGGCATATGTACCATGGATTTATGATATTTTCTGTCTTATTATCTATCCCTTTCCTAGTGGTTCCTAACATTTGGTTAGCTTTTTTTGACTGCTGCTGAACATTGAGCGGATGTTTTCAGAGAGCGGAACGCTCTGCAGACAATCCCTGGGAAGGAGGAGGAATTGGCTAGGAGATTGGTAGAGGGGCTAGCCAGCTGACCTACCAAGTAGAGCCTCTGCCAGGAGGCTGCAACGGGCTGAGTTGTTGGAATCTAAGTAGAAGCGACATGAGACTGGTCACTGTCAAGTGGGTGGCTGAAGAGTGGGACTATAGAACAAGGGCAGAACAGAACTAGGAACCGAGTGTTGGGGGATTCATGGGTGAGGGTAATGGACAGTCATGGGACCTCTATATATTTTATGGTGTGAATCGGGTGAGTGGTTGTACCAGGAAGGTTTTATGGACTATTGAACATATAAATGAATAAATTAGATCTGGGGGCAGGCCTTGGTATCGGACAGTGAGAGACTGTACTTGTTTTAATGGGAGTGGAGGTGCAGGGCCACATGGTGATGGGGGAGGGGTTGCAGGGACACATCGGGACAGGGAGTGGCTGAGTAGGGGCACAGACCCATGGTGATGGGGGAGGGGTTGCAGGGCAACATGGGGATGGGGGAGTGGGTGTCTGAGTGGGGGTGGAGGGACACATGGGGACAGGGCAGATGTGTCTGACTGAGTGGGAAAGGCTGGGGTCAGCCAGGGTCTGATGGGGGAAGATCCCTAACAGTCCCCCCCTGCGTGCCCCCCCCCAAAAAAACCCTGTTCAATACTTTTCCCACCCATACCCAACAACCTTCCAAGTTCACACCCAGGCTCCTTCACAGCAATTACTTTCCTCTCCCTCAGCTCCTCCGTTACCCCGGACTCCCCCCAGCCTTTGCACTGCTTCTGAGGAGTGTGGGAAATACGATTCTGGATTGTAGTTTAAATGAATTATTACTCAGAGTTCTGTATTAATATGCCTAGTAAGGAATCTATTTGTCAAAAAAAATTTCCTGAATCTTTTTTGTTGTCTGTATTGTTACAGACACATTTGCTGACAGGTATTGTGAAATAAATCACCAAAAATAACTGAAACCGGTGTGGTTATATTGTGTTATTTTGACATAGAAAATATGCAGAATTATTTTAAATTTTTTGTTGCAGCATTTTAAATGTTTTGGCGCAGAATTCCCCCAGGAGTGACTATACATTTTTGAGGGGTGTGTCTGTACAGAAACTATTAGCCGCTGGGCCTGAAAGTCAGAAGTTTCATGTATTTGCTAACTCAGAAATGGCCTGGGCAATCCACTGAGCAGAAATCTCACCTCTCAGTGCTAAGGATGTGTATTTGGGCACCATGGACTAGGGTTATTTGGACAAAGTCAGAAGGGAGCAAATGCAGGGCTTCGAATGGAATGGATGTTGCATCCTTCAATATGGAGCCAACTCTCTTAGGTGCAGAGCCAATGGAACATTGAGAAACTGGATCGTAAGGA